TCCCATAGCGGATCACCCGGCTGGGGGGGGGGGGTGCAGGGGGCCCCCCCAGCAGACCTGGAAGTGGATTGGAAGTATTTCCGGTCCACTTCCTGGTTCACTGCCGAGCATACTGGAGTGCCCCCTGCGCTGCTGTGGGACGCTCCATCCACCCCAGCACTGCAGCAATCACGAGTTGTGCTGCTACCTCGAGGTATGTAGGAAAAACTTTTAAAGCTGTGCCTATGTCCAAATCGCTGATTCACTAAATCAGCATCGGATCGTAAAATCAACAGATCGAATCACTGTCCCTGTTTCAGACTGAATCTGAATTGAATAGGGCCCATTTCAGACACCCCTAATAAAGATTAATATTGATTTTTTTTCAATTGCATATATATGCTCTGGATTGCATTAGACCCTATTCTATACCCATCTATTCTTATATACTGTGCTTTTGGGAGGGTGTGAGAAATGATTGAGGTTTAGCATATTGGTGCATTTATCATCTGAGGGCAATAGAAGGATGGCTCCAGATTTGCTACAGTGCTGGCACTGCATCTTTAGAACCTTAGGAACATTCAGGATAGGAGGTAAACCATTCAGTGGCTAGATGCCCTGATGTAAAGGTATTTTTGAACCTTTTACTCTTGATCATGTTAATTTGAATAACGTATTGAAGCTGCCCAGAAACATGAAGACACTGAATTCAAATCTTGGCAAGTTCATGGAGTATAAGCACCCACTTGTGTTTGCAGATGTTGCCATTGATCAGATGCACAAACAGAATAACATATTTGTCAAGGGAGATGGAAAGTTAGTTTTTCTAACAACTGAAGTACATTTGGGTACTGGAAGTTGACTTGGCCAGATGTTGCTCAAGTGACTGGGAAACTGGCACAGGCATGCCAGCACAGCTGGAGAAAGAAGATACAAAATTTCATAGTTGTGAAGAAATTGGCTTTAAAGTTGTAATTTTTCCTGTTACTGAGATTTGGAGAAAAAGCTGATCTCTCTCTAAATATTCCTCTTGAGGAATTATAAAGCTGAGACCCTTTGTATATTAGAAATACTTGCTAATGACCACTTCAGTATCTTTTGTGAATGCTGTCTATTGCTATTACTTACTGAAACACCTAAAAAGAGCATGCCAAAACATCCAAGCTTAAATTTAGTTAAACAAAGGGCAATTTAGAACAATTCTTATAGCTCTGTGTAGAAAGAGCAGATACATTATGAAAACATAGATGAACTCTTTTGTTTGGAAGGAACAATTAATATAGGTACTGAAAACAATCTGTTCAGTTTGCCTGCAAGATTTGGCGAAGGCACCATATGAAGCACAGAGGTTATTAATGTCCTTGCTGCTGCTACTCTTATTAAATTTAATTCTATTCAGAGGATTGCACTTATGACTTAAAAAATATACCTAGAGTAGAACTTGTTATGGGACTGCTATTTATCATAAAAAGAACAAGTAGATTGGGCACTGAAGTGGAGTTCAGATTGGTCATTGGTTCTGGCACCACCTTTGTAAATTTTGCAGAAGCTCCTACTGAAAAAAGTAAAACTCCTGCAGTTGGTTACAGGTGTGTTTTCTAAGCCAGGTGATGAAAAATGGAAAGAAACTGGCAAGTAATACAGGACTAATTAATACTCACCGTACAATCATGAAACCATGAAATTTGGCAATGGCAGTGGCAATGTTAGTTGTCAGAGCTCTGGTTGCCCCATGGCATTTCATACTGCTACTACTCCCTGTTTTTTGGACCTGAGGGGAGCCACACAAGCTGAATGACATCATCCCACTTGCTGGATCTGACTGGTATGCATAGCTGGTATACAGCCATGGTCTTGGTGTCTGGCCCCAGACCAGGTACATGATGTCAGTTCATGGACAGGATCTGGTGCATGGGATCAGTCTGTGCTCCAAATCCGGCCCACAGACCTGGTCCCATGTTATGGATCTGGCCCGTGGACCAGCTGCATCCTGCTTATCCAGCCTGGGCACTGGGTAAATTGAGCACCACTGGATTATGTTGATATGGAACCCCCAGGACCATCTTTCCAGCAATTTTTAAGCGATAATTAAGGGTGTACCAGTAGATTTTTGGGGCTGATACAGATAGTTGATTTTTAAGGGGGCATATTGGTTGATACTGATCCAATTTCTGATACACAGTTCTTCAACTTGAAGAGCTGTATCCAGCTAGTAAGCCTGGTGTGTTGGAAGGTGAGGGAAGGGGTGTGGTGGTGGTGGGGGGGCAGGTCAAAGCCCCTGCAGTGAGGGAGGGAGTGGGACTGGGGCAGGGGCAGGCGCTAGCTAGGGGGTGGGGAGGGGTGCAGGACAGAGCTGCAAGTGGCTCGTTTGGGGGGATGTGTGCCCCCTGGATCTGCGCAGCACGTGGTGGGCTGCAGCTGTGGGCTGTGGCTGGGGCCGGGACAGGCATGGGATGGAAGTACAGCTTGTTGGGGAGGTGTTGGAAGGGGCGTGGGGTGGCTCCCACCACTTTGTGTGGCTTATGTGGTGCTCATCTGGTGGCTCAAGCCGCTTGTCTGGGAGGGCACGGGGTGTTGAGGGGCATGTGCCCCTGTATCTGCATGGGGTTGGGTGGGGCAGGCTGGCATCGGGCTCTTCCTGGCTGGGCAGATCCGGGGGCACACCCCCCTCCTATGACCTCCTGGATGAGCGGCGGTAGCCACCAGATGAGCCCTGGGCGAGCCTCATGCAGCAGTGGGAGCCACCCCTTCTCTCTTCTTGGACTCCCCTGACGAGCCACGCCTCCATCCTGCATCCACGCTGGCCCCAGCTGGGCAGTCCCAGGCCTTCCCTTACCCAACCCCACACCCTCACCCTCCCTTACCATGGGTGCCTTGCTGCCCCCCCATACCCCTCCCCGCTCCCCTTTCCCTTTCCCTTTTACCATACCAGACTTGCCAGCTGCACGCAGCATTCCACGCTGCCGGCTGTACTCATCACTGCCAACGTGCTGCGCTTGGGCTGCGCACACACGCAGATATATATTGGCCAAATTGTTGACTGCATTGGGCTGATTTTTTGATGCAGAAAATTTTCTTTATATTGCTGCTGATCTGATATCAGACTGATGTATTGGTGCACCTCTAAAGATAATCATCTTGCCGTAATAGTACTATCATGCTTTCACATCTCTCTGTAGGCTTCAGTTATTCAATGAAATGCTTAATATTTGTAAAAAAAGATTTTATAAATATTTTTTGGGAGCTGAGAAAATGTGCTTAAAAGAATGGAGAAAACTGGCAGAATGTACCGAGATACTGACAGCTTTCCAGAAGCGTCTTCAGAAAAGCTGTGATAACCAGATGTGCGTGCAGAAGCAGGCATTTGTTTCCAGTAGGTTGTTGTAGATGTAGGCCCATCAAAGAAAAATCTACCCTCTGTGTAAAGCATACAGTGGTTGGTGGGTGAAAGAAAACAGAAAATATTAAATGTTTTATTATGCACTATTTTGAAACATAATGTCTGCTAACTTTCTGAGTTGTTGGAGATTTTGAATAAGGCTCCAGTTCATTGGTGTAAACAGGCAGTGTCCTGATGATGATCTGCAGAATTTTGTAATTTTGACATCTTTAAAAATAATTTAAAAATAATTTAGAATATCTGATCTGAATAAAGTAAGGCATAACATGGGTATTTGTCCTTTTCAAGAATAGGCTTGTGTGTGAGATTTTTTTCCCCCCAAAAAACTATTACATTTAGAAGAAAAAATAATGAAATGACCTTTTGTGTTTCTTTAGGTGATCCCTGTCCAACAGAGGTTAACAGACTACTTCCCTTCAGGAATTAGGGCCTCACCCTTCCTTACTGATTATTTGATTGACATTAACAAAGTTTTGTTAGCCATGGCTGACATAGAGCTATTGCTGAATGCACCAGAGCTCAATACTGGTGTGTACGAGGACTTCTCGACTCAGGAAGACTCACTGAAGGTACTGCAAACTTAATATCTGTTTTGAAAAAAGCACTAACAAAACGAGATGGAAAAAAAAAGTATCATAGTGGATTTACATAGTGTTGTGATTTCAATATATGCCGTGCAGTAAGTAATGAATGCATCCAGTGTGTTCCCATTGCAAAAGTAGCTGAGTTTGCAATAGCCAATAGGGTTTTGTAGAAGCTGAAAGTGATCTCGGGAATCCTGGTTTTCTGTGTTTAAAAAGCCCAAATTCTTTGATGAAACCCCTAAATTCTCTGATTAAAATCCACCAAATCCAAATTTTCCCACAATTAAAATGAAATGCCACGATATATATATGTATCAGCTGAACACAGTGTTTTATTGATACATTTACGTTTCGAAAGCAATTTGGAAGCCTAACAGTACTTCAATCATTATAATAAATTCTAAATACCTATATATTTTGGTGTTTGATTTTGATGTTTTTATCGTGGAAAATCAGAGCCCCCCTGCACCCTTCACTCACCAGGATGCGGGTCTAGCTGCGGCTGTGTCAGTCTCTACCCCCCAACCTCCCGCCCCCCACTGCTTTGTGGCCCTGATCAGCCCTGCCCATACCATTGCCCCTTACTCCTGGGCCCCAGCCCCCCCTGCCGCCATCCTGCTGCCTGTCACTCCCAACCTACAGATTTCCACCCCTGCTGGTGCCTCTCACTCCGGATTCACAGCCCCCTGCTCTCCTTAACCCTACCAGAGGGGACCCCCATCTGCCCTTTGCCCCTCCTAGCCCCGTGCGGACTCAGAGAATGGTGGTCTGTGGGGGCACAGCAGGGACGGCCTCCAGCATGAAGATGCATGCAGTGCACTTCATGCAGAAATAGAGCCAGCAGCTTGGACACCACACGCTTTCCCACAATGGCAGCTGGGGCTGGGGCTGCGGCAAGGCAGGAAGGACCAGCGCTGTACTCTGCAGCAGTAGAGTGAAGCAAATCATGTCTCTGGATCGGGCCATGCTGCAGGCTGCAGGAGGAGGGTGAGGGGCTCCAGGCAGTTTGTGCCACTGGGGCCAGAGCGTGGTGACTGTGGTGGCTCTGTTCATGCAAGCGGCAGTGGAGTGAGTCCGGCTCTAGTGCGGGCTGAAGGAAGGAGGAGGAGGATGCCTGTGCACCCCCTGCCCCAGGCTGGTGCTCCTATGCAGCCCCAGTTGGTCTGCCATGGTTCTCCCCACTTGGCAGTGTCTCTTGGCCACCCAGCCCCTGCCCCTGAGAGCACAGGCACCAGCCTGTGACACTGCTCACCTGGCCAAGCAGCTCCCCAGTGCCCCCAAAGGACCCCCCTGCCCACTTTCCCCACTGGAGGAGCAGGTGCCTCTGGGCAGGCCCCACTGGCAGCAGCACGGGGCTAGACTCACAGGTGGCACTGAGCATTGCCTCAGAGCCCCTCTGCCCTGCCAAAGCCCTGGAGCCAGGACTCCTTGAGACCTTTACCCAGTCTGGCAGGCCTCTCCCTCCCTCCACACACACAACCCATACTCCCTCCAGCCCCTTGGACATTCCCCAAGCCCTGGCCCTCCAACCCCCCCTTCCCATAGACTTACTTGTATTTATCTCCTGGGGCTGCTCCTACCACCCTGCCTGACTGTACACCAGCCACGTATGTTTGCATGCACACACGCATGTGGCACCCCCTGTCTCCAATCACCCTCCTCCAGCAATCCCAAGCAGCCCCTTACAAGCTGCTAGCCTGCAGGAGAAAACCTGTAGTTTCCTGCGTTTTTCTTCTTTAAAGGGGAAAATTTGCATTTTTCCACAGTGAACAGAAAACCCAGATCTCTGGTGATGATCTTTCAACGCTCATGTTTAATTCAAACAGATGAAGATAGTGCTAGTCATGTGCCTAATGTTAAGAATGTCTGTGTGTTCCCATGTTTAGATTGTGGACTGGAAGTGATAGTGGACCGGCAAATTGCAGACTGGC